GTTCCACTCAAATATTTACTCTCTCAAAAGCATGGTAAATATAATTTTACAAGTTATAATTAACTAAACTCATAATCATAAATAGATGTCTCCCTTCTTTCATCAACTCTAGTTTTTTTTCTTCATCCGTTAAAAAAAAAGTGATTTTAGAATCAATTTTTAATTCAAAATCATCATCTCTAAATTCTTTTTCCTTTCTTTTTCATTTCATTCAAATAATTGATTTCATTTATATTTTTAATTTTTTTTTCGTGAATTCGTTATCATAGTATAATATTGTGTTGATTATCGTCTTATTGCAGTGTTATTTTGTTTTCTCGTCTTGATACGGTATTTGTTCGGTTCAGATTGACAAATTAGTTTCGACAAAATACATATTCAACCAATGACTTTGATATCGTCAACACTGCAAACTCATAGACATGAGAATTTCAAACATTTCAATTTCGTCATATTTTTAATTTTTCGTCACATTTCGCCGTTATGTACTATTAATGTGGGTGCTGTGGATTTGTTTACAGATTCATCATTTTCAATTTATAACAATATTAAATTTATATTATTTGATGTATTATATTCATTCAAATGAATAAATATCATTTTTAGTATAAAAAAAAACTCATAACTATAAATAGATTAGTGGACCAAATCCAGCTTGAAAGGTGTTTCAAAATGAAATGATAACAATTAAAAAATATGTCTCCTACTATTTGGATCCTTGAAATCCTCCAAATCAAGAAAACTAATAAAAAATGAACAATAAATGATTTTGAAGGACTAATAATATGTCTTTCCTTGTCTTTCACTCTTCCTTCTCCAAACTAACATAAAAATCCAACACTTCAAAAACACATCAAACCACTTTCTTATATCTACATACCTTGTTCTCAATTGTTTTGTTGGAGATTTTTAGAGTGAAATTACAAGATGATATAGATTTTGCATGAATTTTGGTAAGTCCTAATACATTCACTTCGCCTGTAACTTTCATGAATGAGCTGAGTGGCATAGTATTCGAACTAACATCTGACAAAATATGTTTATTAGATAACACACGGTCTGCCATAAGAGTGAGTGTCAAATTCATTCTTTTGGTTTGACCCCTCGATATCTCTCCGCTAGGGATAGGTGCTTCGCCAATTAGTTGTCCTCTATAATTTATTTGCGTCGATCCATTATAGTATTTTAATCCATACACGTTTGGATTTTTCACTGAAACAATAACATCCAATGTCACATTCATGTTTAGGCTCATGGTAAACATACTGAAACCCATGTCCATGTCGTGAACCTCGATCGAATCCACCGTGCTAATGATTTCTTTTGCTTTGAACACTGTGAATGCTAAGATCACTACTGCCAATATGATTAAGATCACAATTCCAATTGTTGCAGCAACACACACTATCCACTTTTTCCCACATTCTTCTTTCATTCTGCCTCTTCTCTTACTATATATATATATATGGATCTACATCACCATGAAAAAGAATAGATAATATCAATTTTTTTATATTGATTTGCTTTCATAAATATTTGAGTTCATTAAGAATAAATAATTGATGCTGCGAGATTTACATACTTTAGTATGATCTATATTGATTTTTATTGTTTGAGAGTCGAAACTAAAAATAGTTGATATTTAATAGCCATACACCTCAACTCAATGAAATATTTTTGTTAAAAAATAAAACTGTGAGAATTCTCACACCTAAAACAGATAATATCTCGTAATCACAGTCACGTTAAATTAAAGTCAACTCAATGATAGTATATATTTTTATAGTTTTATTTCATGTTATATGTTAGCGTGTAAATAAGCGTGACATAAAAAAAGAATTTAAAATCTAAATTTATTTTGACTTGAGAGAAAACGTAGATTCCATATGGATATGAGGAAATGATTTGTAAAAAAAAAAACTTGATTTATGTATGATTAATTGCAAAGAGTTTGAATTTTTCAAAATATACCTACCATTTCCAATTATTCAACAATTGATCATACTCATTTATTGTGATGATAATACTAACACGAAATGCTGTAACACGTTACAAGTTATTTTAACTACAATATAATAATTGATAATTTATTCATATCTATTTGTCCTTTTATCTTACCTATAAAAGCAAGCAAAGGTTGATGAAATGGAAATATCATAAAGTTACAAATCAATTCTAAAGTGTCCATTTCCAAACATGATCAACATGCATGCAACAAAATATTTCCTTGACCAAATTTAAAATTGACAAAGCATAGCTATAAACAAAATGATCAATATCATATAAGAAATGCTAATTCCAATTCCAATGGAAAATTGAAACAATGATCAAAAGAAAGGAACAAAATAATAAAACATAACCAGCAACATATCAAAATCTAACATATATACCTGAGAATTGAGGCTAGGTTAGGTTGAAATTAATCCTTCAAAATGCATTCATTGATGCATAAATTATTAAGAGAAATTTTGACAAAACCTTAGGCACCTTGAAAAGGTGTGGTTTGCCAAAAGATTCAAAATAGGTATGGTTATAAAGAATGTAATGTAACCAATAAACACCACCTTCTTCAAAAGAGGTGTTTGTTATAATTTGTAGTTTCAAAACAAAATTTGAGCTGGAGTATCATATAAGTTGATTTTTCTTTAGGTTGTTTGTTTTTTAATAGAAAGAAGGGTTAAAACATCAATGCTATGTTTGTACTTATAGCAACCAATAAGAAATGTCGGGTAAAAATAGAACAATCACTCATTTTCTTTTAATTTTGTATTTTGGCTGCATGAGAAAAATAAATAAAAAAGAAGGCAAAAATAGAAATAAAATCTCTATGGATTCAAATCAACTATATTACATCTCCTAATTTTCCGTAGGCAGAGATATCCTAAACCAAATTACAAGGTGGTTGCTCAAGAATCCAAGGTTGGAACCGGTTGTTTACATCCTCATCACCAATCTTGAAAGGAGAATTCAAGAACAATATTGAGAGCTTTGAGAATAGTTGTTGAACCATGTGTCTTTTTTGTCAAAGAACAAAATTTCTTAGTTATGATACTTATTTACGAACAAATAGAGTGTCCTTCACTTTTTTTTTTCTTTCTCTAAAGATTTTAAATTTAAATTTCGCAAGTGTCAATAACTTTGAATTAATTTATAGATAATTTTTATCTCGTCCAATTGAGTCTCTTGTCAGTAAATAGTAAGATTGGTCCTTCAGTGAACGTTGGTAGTACATTGGCAGTGAACGTCGATGTTTGTTATCCTCCTCTCTGATTCTTTTCTTGTGGTTTACCAGTGATTTATTTTCCTGGTGGGATTGCTCTTTTGTTGCTACATTTCATGTTGCATCCTCAATACTACTTTGCGTCTTTTTAGTCCATTCATATGCATTCATATGCATAAATGTTTGCATAGCATCTTAGGACCAAAAACAGGGTTTGTTTTATATTTAAGTATCTTCGATCACGTCGACACGAAGATTTTTAACCTTCGTATCTCCGGATAGAAGAAACTTAAATAAGGGCAGCTGTTGTACCCCAATTTTTGCCCCTAAGGTCCCTTCATCATACCATATTGTTTCAATCACCACAAAATCACATTAGGACTTTTGGTTCTTCTCCCTACCTTTAGCCTTACTCTTTGAGGAGTTACCAAGTACCTTGACTTGTTTTCTTTGGTGAACATAGATATTTTGCTTTGATTTTCTCTCTAAATTAACAAATACAATATTGGTTTGTCTTACTTGTTAATAATGTAGGTAAAGGCAATAAGGATTAGCAAGTTGTATCATGGATTCATGAGTTTATTTCCATGCCCTAGTCAAAGCTTGAGAGATTTAAACCTCACCAATGAAGTTGTTTTGAAATTGGTATGGAAGTAGTTTTAGTGGCCATGAGTCCTCATCATCATCCTCAACAAATTCTATTCATAAAGGAAGAATATGGACGTAGAAAGTTTGTTCAAACTTGGCAAAGTTCCACCAAGCATTCTCTTGATCTAGAAGCTAGGGTTTTGGACTTCAGAGGGGCATATCTTGCTCATCTTTTGATATTTTTGAGTGATTCCAAAAACATTTTTCTCTTCAAAGAGTTACCAACAAATCACTTCAAAAGTTCCAAGGATTTTTCATGTGGAAGGAACTTAATGAAGAAGAAAGATTACAAGTCACCCAGATGAATCCCCATTTTTTCTATATATGATTTCAAATGATCATAACTTGGTCAAATTTTATCACCTTGAGCCCATTATTTTTTCATGATAATCCTAAGGATGTGTACTTCATGCCTTCTTCTATGTGCAAAGTGAAAAAATGGATGGAAGTTTCCTTGAGAATGCAAAAGATTATAGGTCATTTCAAGATTTTTTGCCAACTTCAACAAGTCATAACTTGCTCAATTTTTGGAGATTTTAAGTGGTTCAAATTGCAAAATGTCATTCAAGAGGTCTACTTCATTCCATCTTTTTTGATCAAGAGCAAATTCTAAGTGAAATGCCATGTTTGGATGTAAGAGATTATAGGTCATTTTTTAAGAAGAATTTGAAATATTTCTAAGTATGGAAAGTCAACTCTTTTTCTTCAACTTTGACTCCATGTAACTTTCAGCTCAAGCATCCATTTGATTCCATTCTTTTTCCATTGCAAAGCTTGTTACCTCATCTTTCCAAAGCATCAAGAATTTTACCCTAAGACTCCTTGAGGTGGAAATGCCATTAGAATGAACTTGGTAACTTGGAACTGAAGTCTCACCATAAGTCAGAATTTGAAATCCATGTTTTGGCCTTTAAACATCAAATTAGCACGTGTTTGTAATCTTAACATGTTTAACCAAGTTGCCAAAGTGGATTATAGCCTTGAAACGTAAGGATTTGATGAGTTTTGATGCAAATCAGATCATACTTTGCTCGTGTATCAGGTTCACACGATTTCCCTCCAATTTGCATCATTCCACACGCTTGAACATTCCATTTGATTCCCTGTAAATAGAGGGTCATCCCCCATTCAATTTCCCAAGCTTAGATAGCCAAAATCACCCTGCCAAACTTGCTTCACAACTCAGAATTTAGCTACTTCGAATCCTATTCTCAAGCCTTTTTCAATCCATTTTTTCCATCAATTCACCTTCCTTGATCTTCCCTGAACCTAACCATACAATTACATTCAAGAATTGTGCCCTATATTACTCCATAGAAGTCCAGTTTCAGAGCTCTGCAACTCAATTTCAATAGGTAGATTCCTTCATCAATTCTTCAAAACTTTGGTATCATTGTGTTGCTCTCATTGCCCTAGTTCTAGTCGCAACATTCACTTTCATCTGGAAGCACGTTTTGACCATGAATTTTCAAATTCCCTTTCAAAACTTTCTTTCCAAATTGCTTGAGTTACAGTTTATATAAATTTGTCGCGAATGTGTGGTTGTCTTCGTCTTGAAGAGACGAAGCGAATGACATAGGTCTGAGCTTCTAATTTTACAGTTGGAGAGACCTGCAATTCGTGAGGGCTGGAGGTTGAAGATGACCAACGTGTCATCTTCTAACCAATGAAAGCGTGACATTTGTTATTTTCAAATTCTGATTTATTTAATGATCATGTACATTATTCAGTAAACACCATGATATGCACAACACGCAAGATCCTTTGGATTTGATTACTAACGCATTTTGACTCTCACCCAATGGTCCACATCTTTTTCTGATTTTTATATTTTAATTGTTTTAAATTTTAAAAAATCATAGAAAATTCATTTTTAGTCCAAAAAATCTGGAAAAAATTAGGAAAAATATTTTTGATTATTCTCTTGCTGATTTTTATTTTTTCACAATTTATTTTTGTGTTTTGGTATTTTTTATGAATTTTACACTTATTTGATTTGTTTAAAATGTTTAAAAATACTTTTACACATTTTTAAATTCTGAAAAAATTATGGAATGATCCAATGATATTGTGACAAATATTGGTGAATTTATTTTATTTTTGTTCTGACTTTACTATTTTTTTACCATTTTTGTTTATTTTACCCATTTATTTTAATTTTTAAAAATAGTTTCTGACTTTTAAAAATTCCCAAAAATTTTGTAAAATTACTTGGCCTCTTTTCTGATTTTTATATGGTCTTATTTTTCATTTCATGATTAGTTTGAATATAATTGGCATTTTCTTTATTATTTTCCATTTTTTTTAAAAACATTTTTAAACCCTTTAATGAACATATTAATTATATTATTGTTTTGTGAATATTTTCTGGTTGTCTTGGGTTGATTTTTGGTCATGGATTTATTAACATCATTGGATCCATGGTGCTGAGTTTAACTCCACAAAAAATGGATGAATGATTTTAATAATAGTTTGATTAAATATTAATTCAAATGTGGTTTTTTCTTTTGACCCTAAATCCCCTTTATCTCATCCCCTTCTCATTGCACTAAATGTTGTTGGAGCAT